TTTTTTATTTACAAGTCTTCGTAACGGAAGTTATTGCACATATAGACATACATTTATATATACATATATGTATGTATATAGTATTATGTTTCATATTTTCTTTTTTTGGCTTTCTCTTTTTATAATAATTTGCTATGAGACAGCTAATGCTGAACACTTGTAAATACGATGATGTTTTGCTAACTTCTTAAGCTAAATATGGCAACGTTACAATCAATAGTATCATTAGTACCAGTCAGAGTGCAACTTTCGTTCCTGTTAGCCGCCCCCTCCAAATTTTATTTAACATATTTTCGCATATATATTAACTCATTTGTTTATCATTATAATCGTTTGCGATGTACGGAAGCCGGATGACAGGAACAAATGTATATTTATGTGTGTATTTATGAATGCAAGTTTATGTAGAAACCCGGATATGAAAGTCGCACTCGTAGTTACAACAATCCATTGACAACGTTGAAGTGTTTTTTTGCCCGTATGTATGCGTCTATTTATATGTAAATTAGGTGAAAGCACCGTACTTGACAATATTTTTATACTCTTGCAACATGTTGCTACAGAGTATAATAGTTATGTTCACCTAACGGTTGTTTGCATTACCTAATAATAATCGAATTTGATATAGGCTTATGACATATACATATATATAAATGATCAGGTTGACGAGACGAATGGAATTCCCAGTGACTGTCTATCTGTCCGTCCGTCAGTCTGTGCAAGCGATAACTTGAATAAAAATTAAGATATCTTGATGAAACTTGGTACATATGTTCCTTGGCGCCATAAGAAATTTGGTATTGCCCAAAAAACGCCATTAATCGAAAACTTATAAATTGCCATAACTAAGCCCCGCAATAAGATACAAGGCTATTGTTAAGTACAACGAATTGCATTGGCGAGGGGCATCTATGGTTCAAAAAAAAATTTTAAAGTGGGCGTGGCCCCATCCCTTAATAAGTTTAATGTATATATCTCTTAAACCATTCGCGCTATAAGAAATTTGCACAGAATACATCTCTTTGACTCTTCCTACGACAGTATGAAAATGGATGAAATGGGATGATAACACTATCCATATAACGGTTTTTTTAGAAACTACCAAAAATATGCGACAAACCAATAACGTCAGAGACAATAAATTTTGCAATCAGAATGGCACAAGAAGGCTTTATAGGGGCCGGTGTCAAAATTGAACTATGGGCGTGGCACCGCCGACATTTAGGTGAAATCAACCAAATTTAGACATAAGATTATTTAGACATTCAAATGTAACAGTGCGAAAACCACGCCTACTTCCCATATTACACAACTTTTTTTTCATTTTCCAGCATACAAATTAAGCGCTAATTAATGTATCGGGATAAAAATTTGCAAAATGAGACCGTAACCATTCAAGTCCCCAGATACCGGAATGGTGGACCCCAGAGCCTATGTCTGATTTCTTTCCGAAAATATTGGTCAACCTGTGAGTTATATAATTGAAATTCGAGGAATATGTGTTTTTGATAATAATATAGCCTTTTGTGAAAAATGGGTTCAATCGGATCAACATTTCCCGTAGCCCCCATATAACTAACTTAACGATTTTTGAACTTCCAGTTGATTTTATACCACATAACATATATTAGCCAAGGGGCTAGTTATTTTAATGAAATTAAGAAAGCTTGTTTTTCTAATAAGGGTGTATATTTGTGTCTAAAATGGATAAAATCGGGAGAAAACTTGCCTTAGCCCCATATAACTAATATTTATGATTTTGACTTTTTCCCATTCACCATTTCTTCGAACAATGAAATTGAACCTTTTCCCTACATTTTTTAATATAAAGCTTTGCCAACACCTGAAGGTATTTCCTTGCCTTTGATCCTTGCAAGTTGCAAGAGTATGAAATGTTCGGTTACACCCGAACTTAACCCTTCCTTACTTGTTTTTTTTTATGTTTTTGTGCATATGTAACTCATATTTATATCTACATGCACACAATTTTTTACGGTGTATCAACAAGAAGTTTACGAAAAAAATGCGTAAGCAAAATACATACAAAATATAATAAGCATAACTGCTAACGTAAATAGCAACATTCGATCTATATGTTCATATATATTTATACTCATTAATTTGAATCTTTTTATGCTTCTGCTTTTTTTTTTAAATTTGTGCTTTCTTCTGGGCAAAAAGTTACGCATTTAATTAGTGTTACCGAAGTAACAGTCACAAAAAATATTTGAGTACATATGTATGTTATATACATATCTGTTTTGTAGCAAAAAAATTGGAAATAAAATAATAAGAGATAATTTTTATAGAGCAATAAATTTTTAACAAAACTATGACTTTTCCGATTTACAATGTTCTTTTTTCATTGAGTTATAAAATGCATAAGCAAAAAACAAATTTGCCTTAAAATAATCGAACTTTAAACGTTAATATCTTTGAAACGGTTAGATTAACGAAAAAATCGTTGAAAACCATTTTGCAGACTATTCAGTTTTTTTACAAAATTTATGAAACGAGATATTTTACAAGTAGATAAGTATAATTATTTATTTATTTTTTATGCAATATTTTCTTTTCTTTAATATTAATTCAAGTTACACTTTTTGAACATGGTGACCGGTTTTTCTTCTATTGAATAAATGAGAAGTTAATATAGTTTGAAATTTTTTTTTTATTTTACAATTTTACACAACAACATGTAGGTTATTCAGGAATTTTTATCACTGAAACTATAAGTTAATAGTAACTGAAATAAGAAACATAAATTTGAGACCTGAGATTCTCTAATTATCTGGAAATACGCGTCAATGGTGGTCCCATATTTTGTTTTGAATTAGATTTTTACCAAAGTAGTAATAATGTTACTAATATTATGACTCCGAATCTTGAAATGTTACTAATCAATTTTTTATTAAATTCCATATTTTTATTTGCCATTAAAAAAAATTGTAATTGTATATTATTTTTGCAACAATACGCCTAAAAGTATGCAAACATTTGCGCATACTATGTAATCGTGTTAGGTTTATTTCTGTTACGGAATTTCTTGATTCGGTCGCCGCGCTCAAAGCACGCGATAGAAGCTATGCAATAGCTTAAAAATTAGACAACTGTAAGGCGGTAGACCTTACTAAGAGCTCATACTTAGAGAGACTTTCGTAGAGGTGTCTAAGGATCCATTTTTCAGATTACTATGCAAAAAAATTACCAAAGCAAAAAATATTCGTTTGTTTTTACCCAATTTAGTATATATACTGTATACGTCTCCTTCTGGATGTTACAAACTACGTTCCAAGTTTGTATTCAAGTTATAATAAGCAACAATAAACATGTAAAAGACAGCACAAAGAAAACAAATATGTATGTGTGGAAAAGCCAACAGCTACAGAAATGAAAGAAGCAAAAGTGAAACAATAAAATGAAACTAATACTCTTTAAGTGTGAAAAATAACACACACATCGACAGACGTACAAACACAGATGTGCAAAATGAACAAGCCTATCTCGTTAACAGCATTACAACGATAACAAGTCAAGACAATCGAACCATTTCTACAACAAGAAAAAAAACCAAAGAAAATGGAAATAAAAACATCCCTCCACAATGCGATACTGTTAAGGTCAAATAACTTAGAAACTAAGATGACTTGCTACAAAGGCACTAAATAAGTCCTAGGAAACGGCATAAGAAAAAAGAACAAACCACAAAGAATGGCAAAGGCACAAAGATATTGTGTGTGTATGTATGAGTGAATAAACAAGTATACTTTCAGGCATCTTATCAGACAGGTCAGTGAACTCAACAATCAAGTGAACACTAAAATTCGCATCAAAAGGGCAATAAAACGCATTTCTGGAAATGAAACCGTGCTGCTGTTCTTTCCTCTCTTTCAAAACCCCGAAGTAACCACGAATTAGCAAGTACACACAAGCGCACATTGACGCCTTGAAATCCTGAAGCCAAAGCTCTCATCAATACCGACTGCAAGTAATGCTGCCTGCAATAAAAAACGCTTAAGATATAAAAGGCTCCTCAGCGCTGTTCTCTAACATAATTGTAATCATCACAAACATTACCGCGACTTAAGTTCATCAAGCGGAGTTCAACTTACGTGTGTGTGTGTGCATGGTATACATATACCATAATTACCAGCAAACGCACAAAGCTTTCAGAGTTCCGACATGCACAAAGTCGAAAAGCAGTATGAGTGGAATTGAATTCGTTGGGCGCCTATATATTTATACACTTGTGTATGTAAGTATGTAGCAGTGATATTGATTGATTTCACTATACAAATGTTTTAAATAAATTTACATATATACTTGTAGAGCAGTTTATCTATTGTACCCAAGGTCCTCTTCCATTTTCCGTTAGCATGTTTTGTTTCGGGGTCATTGCTTGGTAGAGTCAGTGACTTCGGAATATTATTCAAATTTGCCATTTTGATTGATCAGCTACTTGCAAATAAAAATAGATTAGTGTTGATTCAATTCGAATGCTGTTTTTGCTATATGTTGTATGTGGAAGCCAGAATATTCAAAAGAACGTGAAATAATTGCTGCTACATACGTACACAGTTAATTAATAATATTAAAAAAATGTATTCGTTGTCCCTTGCCTCGAAAATTTGCCAGTTTAAATCCAATGAATCCAAGGAGGACAAAAGAAACAATTGAGTGAAGGTAACAAGGCTGGTGGGGTTGCTGTATCAAGAAATAATATTCGATCTTTTCTGAAGGTTGTACGGAAAGCATTAACTTACTATTGTTATTGTAGCCGCAAAAGGTGCACGCCAAATAATGTTCAGAGTGCTAACGAATTGACAATGCTTGGCCAGAATAAAAACTCATTATCCTTTAAGTCGACTAATGAAGAGTTATTATGATAAATTGTATAAAAAGTGATTGTTAAATTCCATTTTCCAAGTTAAACTGCATAATTTTTGCATTAGAAGAAAATTAGTTATTTATTACATATATATTTTATTTATTTTGAACATTTATTTTAGAAAAGGAAATCGAAAAAAAATTTTCCGCAAAATCATTAAGTTAATTTAATAAAAAGTTGCCGCGTCAATTAATAAAACGCTAGAGTGTGTGTATGCCATTTAATTGCATTAATTTTCATTTAGACAGCAAAACCGCAACAACAAAAGTTCATTAATTGAATGTACAAGTCATACATGCATACAAACATATTTAATTTATAATTTGTAAGCGCGAGTAAAATATTTTTTAATGCAAAAGTTCTGGCAGGCGTTATGATTATATGTAAAACCGCGAATATATGTATATGCATAGTCACTAATGCATACATACATACATACATACATAAGCATGTACCAATATACAAATTCAAGCTTAACTTCTCTGTACTAACTGTGGTAAGCCCGCAATAGCCGATCAATTTTTAATTCGTTGGAAAGCGTTAAATGCGTCATTACTTTAACAATAAATTAATTAAATATTTTAATTATTTATAGGGCAACCAGATCTACTATAACTGAATTAACAATCGAACTGTCACAATTTCTAAATGGTAAAAAAAAAACTAAAAGTTCTCCTTCGAGCCGGATTTGAACCAGCGACCTATGGATGTCTGCATTGCAGCGACCTGTGCATTGATCGCCGCGCCAACGTTATTATTGTTGATGCAAGCTAATTCTGACTACAGTCCACCGCTCTACCAACTGAGCTATCGAAGGCAGTTGGGCGTTCGTGTCCATTCCGTTGTTTCGCTTTTCATTCACATAAACTTCCATTAAAGACATACATATATCGGTGCGTTCGTATATGTGGATATTTCAGCGAGTCTATTTCTATTTCGACGCCTCACTTGGCACACGCGGTGGAGAAAAGCAACAGCAAACTGCTTGCATAATTTAGAGAACTAAATCGCATATCTCTTGCTTTTCACTACTCTTCCAATGACTATTGCTACATTCTCTTCACATCAACTTTTTTGCAGCACACGCTTTCTCCAGCTATGGGCTGGCAACTGGCTTTGCGCTCAGCAGGCTGCAATACTCTGCCAATTTATGATCGTTCAATTAATTGTTCTCCAAGTTTATTGTTTTTGCATTCACATGCACCTCTCTCCATGAATATTACAAGCTGTTTCCTATTTACGAGGTGATTGCGCTTTCTCTTGCTTCTCTTTTCCATCATCGCTAGCCGGCCGTTTTCCACTTGTTGCGTATGACATACATCTATATATTTATGCATCCAATTTCACTTAGTGCGCTATTTTTAGTTACTAGAGAGCGTACCGGTTTCTCGCTATTATTTGCGATGAGCGCATCTTTTCTTACTTGAGGTTAAAGCAAGTGGTATTTTGATTAGGATCTTTTCTGGAACGGTCATCTTTAAGGAGTCTTTAAAGAAAATCAAGTTAGATATGCAAATATTCTGCCTTTGTTTAACGGACATTATCTAAGTCTATCGATTTTATTTACAATAAGTTTGCAATCTTAGCGGTCAGTAGTTTGAGCGAGCGAAAGATGTAATAGTAAGCGACAGTTTAGTTCAAGATTAAGTCACTGAAGTTTCGTTGAAGGTTAATTTAATCTGAAATGATTACTCTCACTAATGTAAGGTATGCAAATTAACAAGCAGGGCAATACATTGCGTTATGTAACCTTACATCATAAGGTTCCATAAGCTTTTGAACTTCAATTCATAAACATTATCTGTATAACTTTATAGAAGCCTCTAGGCTTGAGAGTGCTAGACGTCGCTGAGCGTACAATGAAAACTCATATTTTTGAACCGATTTGGCTTAAGTGGCGCCAGTTTGGAGTAATCATTCAAATGGTATATTCGGTTCGATATTGTTATCCTTAGAGCTTTAGATGAGTTAAATCTACGGTGTTAAAATGTGGAATTTTTCGTAGACTAAAAGTGATGGTAACTCGTAATAATACGAGTATTCCTCTTAAATTTCATACTACTGCGTATAGTTAAATTTATAGCTCACAGTGCTGAGTATTCTGCGGTTTTCCCATGGATATATGTAATTATTCATGTTTGATTTATATATTTAATGTTTGAAGGAAAACCCTAAGCTACTTATCTGTCTTTAATGTAGACAAAAACAGAGGCGAATTGTTATTGTTGTTGTTAGTTCGTTATCTCTTTAACTGCTAATGAAACTTTGTCGTTGTCTTAGGTCAGTGACGGGTTCTTTAGTGACTTTAACAAATCCCACATGACTCCATAATCGGCCAGCACTGCAACTACTCCATTACCACTTGGATAGCAAAAGCAAGAATAACAACAACCTCAGAATGAAAGCGCAGCAGGCCACAGACTGTAAAAACCCGTTAGCTCATGGTAGTCGCAGCAAAATGGTGAGTGAGTGACCACTTAAACTTTCAATGACAATGTCCTGGGCATTAACCGCCAGTGGATTACGACCGGCACACGCTCGGCAGCGCCGGAGCATGCGTGTGGCACACACTCCGCATGTGGCAGACAGCAGCAATTGCTGAGTTTCAAAGTAGTATTATTATACAATAGTTCAGTTCTATTTTTCGCTTTAGTTTCTCAAGTAAAGTGCAGAATAAAATGAGGCAGGAGATGCGAGGATAGCAAGGATAATGGCTAATGCCAGCAACTTGTACGGTTCAATGGGCGAACGCATGTGTGTACGTACTTGCAAGTGTGTGTGTAAGCTGGTACTGTCTGTACAGTTAAGTAGTTAAGATTATGGAGGATTGTAAGGACATTTATATGTCCCAGAGAGGTGGCATAACTTCAAGTAGAAAAGAAAAATGACAGAGCAGAGTATTAAAAGCGAAGTTATCTGATGGAAAACATCATCAATTTTTTAAATCAATGAATTTATGCAGTTTCACTGCATCAGAACACAGTCCGGTCCGCGAAAGTCATTCTAAGTTGTTATTATGTTAGTATATATGTAAATATTGTATGTATGGTTTATAAGTATACTGTAAGAAATTAAATTCATATTTGCTTTAATCTTTAGTTTTGAGTAATTGCTAGTGTTTTTGAAATCACTTTGAAACTTAGCTACGAAGATTTTAAAAATACCGGAACTATTGTAATACAAACGTCAATATTAATTATTTTTAAAAGACACCATGAATGCAAAGAAGATATTATTTCTTCATTAAAGTTTGTAACACCCAGAAGAAAACGTTGGAAACCCTATAAAATATTCACATAATGATTAGCGTGATGTGCTGAGTCAATTTAGCCATGTTATCTGTCTGTCTGCCAACAACGAATTTAATGTGTTACCACTACACAATCATATTATGCCTAGAATATTATTCAAAACAATGTTTAAGAATCACCCTTTGCGTAGCCGTAGGGTTAAGAGGAAGGCAGCTATTCAAGATAAATAAAATAAAGACAACAGCATTTTTATACGGTACTACTCTGAAATTTGTGGTTTTTGTTGTTCTAACATATTTTTCTTGCCCCTATATTTTTTAGATATTATTGAGTTGTTTCAACTACGCAAGCCTCAAATTTTGAAATAACGCATATTTGATTCCACCAAAAATACAACAGCAATAATTCGATATATATATATATCAAAAAAAGCTAAAATTAGGGTTGTAGAACGTTTTAAAAATGTGTATTTATACTTATATTTGCTGATAAATTGAAAATTTCATGATTGCAGACATAGACAATGAAGCGACCTTAACGGTATTGACGCCAACCTACGAAAGCGGTCGCGCATTACGAGCGCCATCAAATAAAACAAATAAATAGTTGAAGTATTGCGTTCACTCGCGTTTCAACAGCCAGCAGTTGACAAAGTGGGAGATTTGTAGTTGTGTGTGTAAATGGCAAGTCGAGGAATACAGCTGAGGGGACTAGAATTACAAAAAAAAAACAATGAAGAGAAGCGCTGAACGAAAACGACAGGAAGGACGTGATGCTCGTAAAGCAGGTAGAGGTGGCCACAACATTTTGTGTGTGTACGTGTATATTGGCATGTTTTATTGCAAAATTTTGCATTTTTATGATCGTTGGTGTTGCTGCGTAAGTAGTGTAATATAAGCATTTGTGGCACACGAGTCATCAGTATGATTAGCGCTGGGTGTATAGTACGCAGCAATGACTTAGCAGTATGGCAGTGGGGCAGAAGACGTGGACAGCAAAACATGACAATATTTATAAATTGATGTCTTAAGCCCGTCTGACGTGTGCAACTGGCAAAACGAACATGTGCAGCCACAAGAACGCAACGATAAACGTGTTGATGGGCACATGCATACATATGTTCACACATATATAATGAGAATCATTGATGTGACATGAAGAAGCTTGAATAACATACCACAAATATTTTTCTCAATCGCACTCTACATCTGCTGATATGTATGAGACATATTTATATATGTATGCATGTATGTGTGAGTGTACCCATGTCCATTTATTCATATGCGTATCAAGATCTAGCATTAGCACGCATACTTACAAAGTAAAAGCAATACGCATACTACAATGTCCCACTGCTGATGCGTCTGACATTTTCAGATTCTTAGAAATTAATAAAAATCCCACACATGTACAACATTTATTGCTGCGCCAATGAAACTGAGCATAGCTGCAAGGTATGCAAGGCTGCGCAGAGTGCGAGGCGAATGGCGAATGAGTATTGTGCTAATAGCAAACCACGAGACACACTTTAAACTCACGCACACGCACATGCACGCATACATATGTATGTGTGAATCTGGGCGTTTGTCATCAGGTAGCGAGCACACGCTCCCAAGTGACAGCGAATGCGGTTGACAGTGGAATGCACTACCGTAGACATACGCACCCACCCAGCCGCAAGCAACAAAAACGTCAACAACCAATGTGGCAACCACGCAATCATTTCAACTGAATTACTTATACGCCCTGGCGGCACCTATGGGACGCTGTGTTGTCGTAAATTTCCGCGGGCGCGCCACACAGGAAGGAGTACGAATCGCAAAAACAACAAAGCAACAGTAACGGCACTAGTAAACATAAGAGCACGCACACACACGCACGTGCGTCACCGCAAATGGCATTGCGGCACGCAATAACAGCTGCCAACAACAGCAACTACAATGATAATAAGGCAACTGCACACAGCTATCTGGCGCACGAAAGGACATTGTCAACACGTAGCAGGCAGCAGTGCACAAGGCAACAGAACCGACGCAGACAGGCACTCAAATAAATGTAAAACACTCGCATTTGTCAAATTTATGAACTGGCACATATCACACATCACGGTGCATACCCAAGTACTTAAGCATGCATATGCTCACCGCCCCTAACATATGTGTGAGGTATTAGAACGTCATGGAGAGTCGAATTTATAGCAGCTGGTCTAATTTCAGCCGCCCAAATGCACACTTTGAGCTGTCTATCATCTGCTCCGATTGCCAGTATTAGTTTAGAACGACCGTCCGTTTACTTAGACACCACCTAACCAACACCAAGCCAGCTTCTGATGTCTAACAGTTCAGTCTGAAGAAAACGAGTACACGAGTAAATTTAATATGTACACAATATTGGCATGGCGCTAGTCATAAATTTTTAAAGTAGTTTGTTTTCTATTTTTTACAATTTACATCAAATCACCTAACGGTAACTCGTAATTGTTGACATAGGGATCGAGATAACGTGCTTCCAACACACATAATGATATGTCTGCATTTAGACGCTCTTATGATATTGAAATTGGACAAATATCTACGACCGATATTTTTTCAAAAAAGTTGCACCGTAATGAAGAAGAAGAACTCACATTGATGATAGAAAAATATGATATCCTTATTTGTACCCATAATGTATGCTTTAAAGTGAATAGGATTATTACAAAGCACCACATGTACAATCGGGTAAGAATAATTAATATTCGGTACGTGGCCGTTAGATAGAAATAAGAAGAGTTGTCTCTAATTTTAATAATTTCTGCTACTATATCTCACTACGCCAAGCGTCCATTAATATATAGGGTATTAAGTCAAAAAATGTGGAAAACGGTTGGCCTCAAGGGCCATCCCTGCAACTTTCCTCTAATTTCATACGCTAACGTTCAAATTTCGCTTTTTTCACTGCTTTTGAGCTCTTCGAAATTTTTCGTTTTCGATATCTAGCAAGTAAATCAACCGATTTCGACCCGGTTTGCGGCAAACGATGTGTTTCTTCAAGGTTTAAAACTGATTAGTTTTTAGTGTCGATCGGTCAAGTCGAACGATTTTTCAAAATTTTTATTTTTGAGATTTCTCGAAATCTACTAGTCCGATTGGGTCCAAACTTACACGAAATTCAAGTGCAATGAAACCCTTTGGAATGCCCTTTAGTTTATTCAAATCGGTTGAGCAGTTTAATAGTTATAAGAGGGTCACATACATCCACACACACACACATACATACAGACATACGGACATCATCGTAGAAATGTTCGGGGAAGCTTCCTCGACCCTCAGAACGTCGAGATCTGTTGAGAACTCGATTTTTGCAAAATGGGGTGAAACCAATATCTTCCCGATTTTTAGAAAATTTTCCATTTTCTTAGCGGGAAGTTAAAAAAAGGAAATGTTGCTCATTTTAGGTAGAGGTGGCATATAAATCGATTTCACCTATTTTTGGTACCGAACGATGAAGGGATCAGAGATACTGAGTAGTTGGGAGCAGGATATCCATTCTACCGTCGTATTTAGTATAGGATGGTCACGAGATCTGATTTCACTTATATTTTTAACACAGTCATGGAAATCATAAAACGCCATTTTGAATCTTAACAACTTAAAAGAGCATAATAAGGAGATTACTCAACCTTAATTATTACTATTTTTAGTAATACTTTTCGACAAATACGCACAAACCATATACGCAAACTACAGCGCCACAAATAGAAAGTTTTAATTAAAAAATTGCCAAATAATTCCATTACTGGTTCGAATTTTATTCAAACACTTACTTACAGGGTCACCAACTTTAAAAACACCTAAAATGCAGACCTTTTGGCTAAAAAATGTTTAAGTAAGCAATATTTTTTCCAATGAATTGAAAATTGGTTTGTAAAGCCAATCAAAAGCTAAAGCAGTGTTTACGTTTCAAATAGTTTGAGAGCTGTAAGCTTAAAGAACCCCTTTTAAACTTTTAATACAAACAATATTCATGAGAAATTATCGTACAAAACCAAGATTAATTTGAATTGTTTCGCTAACCAGAAACACATTTTGAGCATTAAATTCCATATAACAGACTTATGTCCATTTGATCCATTATTTGAACTGTCAGGATACAGATACACACACAATTTAACTGTCAATCTGAAAGCCATTTAGTGGAATTAGGAATTTAAAAGCGCCAAATACGAAATAAGTCAGTTCTCACAAAAAATAGCAGAATTAAATTCCATACAAATAAACACACATACTCATACATACACGTTTTGACCTTCAGAGTTTTTGCCTGTTTTGTTAACATTAATTCATACGCGGCCCGTACGATCCATGTAAATTAGGATGTGGGCCTTCCCAGTCGCCGATGTGAGACAAATAATAGTAAATGTTGTTAAAATAATTATAAAGCGCTCTTCTGCTGCGAGAGTTGGTGTTTACATGGGAGGATTCTGCGAAGAGATGCCTGTTTTCTAGCGACACGTGCACGCTATACGAGACGAGGAGGATGAGGACGAGGAGGTGAGGCGAAAGAGATTAAGTGCAGCTCCCGCTTGAAGGCAAAATGAAATCAACAGACTTTTTGCCAACTTGTGTGTGTGTGTGTTTGTTTGTATTTGTGCCTGATGAATGGGTCTAAATTGAAAAAACCGACAACAAATTCTAATTAAAATCAGCAAACAAATCTATTCCTAGTTTAGTTCTGTTTTTTGGGTGTATTTATTTTAGTTGTATGTGTGGCTGCAAATTAAGGATTAAATTATTAAGAACAGACATATATGTATGTGCTTAGCCATTGATATACAAATATACCTATATAAATACATTTAATGTAAAATATGAAGTGATGAAATTATAAGTTTAATGCCTTGAGCTTATCCGAAAAATTTAATAAACTACCCCAACTAACGGAGCACATTAAAAAATTTTGATAGTCAGATACATGTGAGCGTGTGTGTGCATCTATACAAGTATATACAACAACACTCAAATCAGTTTTTGTATTGTCTGGGCAAACTTTTTAATGAGAATTCCTGTTTTGTTTGGTAACTGGAGTCGTATCCTCGAAATTTAAAGGTTTGCAAGGGAATTCGAAACTTACGTCAGCACTAACACACAAACAAAAAGGTATGCTTTCGTAACAAAGAAATCACAGGTATTTGCTTGGACAACAAAAGGTTAGAGGAAGTCATTCGGTGTGTTTTTAAGTCAACTTTCTCTTAATAAAACGAGCATATGGGTATATAAATAATATAACGGGATTTAATGCAGATTAAAATGTTTCGTTAAAAGACAGCCCAAACATTAGAATTTAATATGCGGTGTAATCAAGAAATCTTTAAAAATTCTCTAATATTTCAACTTGCTAATGTAGATGATCATTTTACTTATAGAAAATAATTATCCTTTCTTTTTTCGCCTTAAATTGTTTCACTTGCACGTTAATTAAAATTTCAAGAAGAAGTATTTGCAACGGTACTTACCTATTTACATATATTATTCTTATTTCTGTATCGTATTATTTTGAGCAAAAACTCTTAAGGTTTCGTTTGAAATTTGGTTATATGAGCTTTTAAGTTATATTACACACTCTCTTTTGTATTGTTTACACACTTTTTAGTTTAAGTTTTCAATATGTTTGATTTTGAGATACTAAAAAAAATTTTGATATTAGAAAAAAGGTAGAACGAATTTTAAAGGTTTATTTTTTTGAGGTGCCATTGTGCCAACAGTAAATTATTTTTTATTTAAGATATTGAAAACAATTTTTAAATACCGAATAAATATTGTGGTTGGAGATAAGGGAAACTAACTTAGGAAAAAGGGGACTTCCTTTTTAAAATTGGGAAAAGGGTAAGATATACAATACATACAATAGTAAGCATATTCTAACTTCCTACTGTGGATTTAAAATTGGTGTAAAACAGCTATACATAAATTACAAATAAAGCGTACCCTTCTGTAGATAATTAGTAGATTTCCAATCATAGAAAAATAGAGCTTTTGAGGGGAATTCTTTTAATTTTTTCGGGTAAAATAAGGTTGTATTTACTCATTTAGGAGACAGGCTTTATTGAATATGTCAAAATGAAACGGAATGTCGCCTCTACTGTATATAGTCAGGCAGTGCTGGCACAGAAGAGAAATATGTCAAGGATTAAAGGTGTATCTGAAGAGGGCACAAAATCTTCATGATTAAGATTAAATATGTATAAATTTAAGATAAATTTAATTAGGAGTACCTTTTTATTTATTATATCTACAGTTTGAAAAGCAGGCATTCTGCCAAGCAGAAATACAAAAACTCGCCACGAGCTCACCTAAGTGATTATAATTTGCATAAAGCGCCCTCCACCTCTCAGTTAATATTGAATTCAAATTTTTATTTTGCTGCATTTGCAAAAACAGGAAACACAAAAAACCAGAAAAAGAAAGCATTCCTACAAATTTATTATTCCTTTAAATAATATCTTTCATTTGTGTTGAATTTGGCTTGGGGCACGTTGGCGCATATTTCAGGTCGACATAATTAAAGCTACTTAAGTATGCGCGTGTATACACACACGCACATACGAGTACATACCATGTAATGAACTCGCTGAACTCAACTGTGGTGAAAGTGTACGTGTGTGCGTGTGTGTGTGTGCTTACATGTGCATGTGAACGCAAATATCTCGCTCATTTGCCAAATGTGTTGCAAACGTCGAATAAATGAATATAAATTGCATTAAATTTGAGGGCGCCACATGTTATTCAAAAGCTGAAGGCGCGTGAGGGAAAGTGAATGGGCCTGATAAATTTTGAAAACAAAGCCAAAACAAACAGCACAAACATTTGATACCGTTTGGCCTGACGCTTGCACCGTTGCATACAGCTCTCTTCGCTGTATTTGTATTCACCATACTTAATGGCCCCTCTGAATGCCAACTAAGGAGGAACGTGAAGTTCGTTACGTCGAAATTATCCGCCGGCGTTTCCACACACACACACACAAATGCATGTGTGTAGATATGTATGGGAGTGAATAGAAAAACACTTTGTGCCAAAACAGTTAAGAGCACGTAAATAATCGCACCTGTTTTGCACCCTGAAAGCAATAACGCTCCCCTAATCGACTGTCAAGTGTTGGATAATGGCTGAGATGGCATTTGCACAGCTTTCAATGTGGCTGCCAGTAGCAAGCTCCGATATGGTATATTTACTCAAAGGGAGAAGAAATAATCATATTTAGAGCACTGCGTGAGGATAACACGCACATTTAACGGTAAATCTCAAACCGCATCGAAATGGGGACGTGCAGGACGTGACTGCCACCAAAATGTGGCACAAATGCGAGTTTTAAATTTATGGACTATTGTTACCGGCTGTTGCTCTGCATAATCGGGTGGATTAAGCGCAAAACTCGGATGAATTTAAGTCCAATAAATACAACAAAAAAGAATATAAATAAATAAGGGGGAAAACAGAAGGAAGTAAAGCAATAAATGTCAGCCCTTAGACGTAGAAACTAAAAGAGCTACTACAGATAAAATTAAATTATACTAAATTTTTATTTATTTTAAGAACGAAAATGTAACGTGGAGTTGAGAAAATATTTTGTTACATTTCTATTGATTGAAATTGAATTTGAAGTTACTAACAAATATTTGACATTACATCAAAATTGATAATGTTTTTAAACTGACCCGAAGGTTATAATTCCGAAGCAATAGGCAATTATACTGAAGCTTTAATAGACAATTAGAAAATTATTTCAACTCTACATTCGTATAAGTTGAACAATGCAGTTTCATCGTTGATTGAAGCTTAAATCTTTTTTGCAATAAACTTGGTGGCTCTGTGAGTAAAGGTAGCGGAAAATTCACCATTTAAAATTTATAATTTTCTTGAGATTTTCTGTAATATATATATTTTTTTACTTTTTTCCAATCTTTTACAAATACTATCTTTGCTTTACATATATACTAACTTCGTTACAACTTTTAAAATTTACAATTGATATCAGTGAAACAAGGCGTATACGCAACTTTCTACACTCCTTATTCACAATCATTCCAGGAACCACTGCGTATGAGCAATTTATGCCCACGAGCCACCTACATTTTTAGAAAAGATAAACAAGAAAAGTAACTGTTAATGACAGTTCAAGTCAAAACACTTCAGGGCAGCAGAAAAAAAAAGAGAAAAAAATAAATAAAAAGATTAAAACGGAAATATTAAATTGTAGATGAGAGAAGAGCGTGAAAAACACGCGTTCAATCAATGCAAAAGAATAAAGATGGTAAACGGGAAATAATAACAAATGTTAGATAGTACAAAGAATGACGATTAAACGAGGAAAGTAAACAAAGCAAGCAAAACACAAGAAAGCGCATAATAAACAATAATAACCATAGACTTTTGACGACCCCATTCTCAGTGGCAAACTCACATCAATGCTCCAAATAAATCATAGGTAATATAGTGTGTGTCTGGACGGAAAAATGTCAACAATGTCGAAGGATACCAGACATGACGCACAAAGAGCTAAAAATGAACAACATAGGCGCACCGGAAGTGGCACAGCAGTGGGGGGCGTTTGCATTGTAACAAAAGTGAAGTTAATATGAACTGACACCGAATGTTGCAGAGGAAGAGCGCGCCGCCGTCGGGACCTTTTGCCCTCAGCAGCACAAACAATAGCCTGCACACACGCACGCATACACACGTACACGACTAGATAGGTAACTAATGAAATATATATAAAGTGAAGCCAGCAGGTTGATTAGCTTTGACGGGAAGTGGAAAATGTGTTGCAAGGAACACATAGCGGAATACAAAGACGGAAAATAGGCCAAGCATGAAGATACCGAAGGAGGTTAGTAGGAAAATCACACGACTGACAGCAACTAAGGCACATCATTATGCAGACGTGCCCACATAAATGTCACTATGTAAGTGTGTGTGTGTGTGTTAATGCTTGCAGCTTGTGGCAAATAGACAGTACAATAACCGACACATTCGCCGGGAAACAGGTAGTCATAGCCAAGCCAGACAAAGCCTTAGGGGTGATGGATATATATATATATATATAATATATATAATGGGGGCAATGGGCCTTTAGTGTGACCATAAACCGTTAAGCTCTGTGGAATGACGCGATACAAAATGTGGTACGTATGGATGAAGGCAGGTGCCAAAAATGGTTAAGTCAGCGGGTAAGCGGACGGACAGCATTTAGGTAGGGTACTGTTTGCTTCTAATTGTCATTGTGCATTTGCTGGAAACGCGCACATTTAACGTTTTTAATGTTGGCACAACGACTCTTGTCAAGCACTAGGCACTAAGTACAGTTCTGTGCACAAACAACACACTTTATTTACTTATTATTTATTTGTTTTCAATATTTCACATCTTGTTTACTTTGCCACTTCAATCTTTCGAGTCTAGCTCACAAACTTGCTGCAAATGCTTGGGCAGCATTTTGAAGACACTTTCATTTATTTTGCTCAAAACATTTTGAAATTTTTCGAAAACAACAACAGCAAAAACCAAAAACGGCACTCGATTTGATACAAAGTTTCCGAATTAGCCCACTGGCTGTGCGTTTACATGTTTCGGTTTCTTGGCTATTTATTGTTGTCTGTTAGAAGGTATATGTATGTACACACTTGAGAATATCTCAACTATAAATCAAATTCAAAATATTCGTCGCGTTGACTGCCACAAAACGTACTGCGCGCATCGAATGTTCAAATAAAACTGAAGCAGTTTCCACATCGAAGGTAGGAAAACACCGAACGTCGAGCAACAGCCACCGTCAAGTCATAACAATGCTTTCGCCGCTGCAACAATAGCAACACACAGCGCCAATAGAGCTTTTGCCACATACCTTGCGAACAGCATATAGGCGGAGTGGCAGAAAAGCTCATAACGGCGCGGCGTAAATCCTTAAAATGTGCTCACGTTCGCTCGTCATCTCTCTCGCTCTCATTTGCACTCTCAAACCGCCGCTTTCACCCTCCCTTTTTAACGCGGCGGCATTCTTGTAGCATTCAAAACACCTGTAAGCGTCGTTGCTTCGTTGTTCATGATGATTTTGTTTTGTTGTTGCTTTTAATGTTGTTCTATATATTCTTTGTGTTTTGCTAATAGTTGGAACATGCACTGTGCTTGTATGAATGAGCGTAGAATGTTAGCTTAGCCGGCAAAAAGAAGAAACGTCGAAGCATTTGTGCTTTTTCCTGCTGCTCTCTCTCCCGTTCTCATTCTTAGCCAGCCTATTCTATGAGTACACTGCCAAACTGCGTGGTGGCAATTGCTGGTACGACAGTGCGCGTTGTTGCCAAAGGATTTGTGGGTGGCATGTGACAGTTTGAAAATATTAAAGAAAACGGAAGCTCAACAGTTGGCACATTAAATTTGCCTCCATTGCTTTATACACATCCACACATGGCTTTGGCTTTTGCTGGATATAAGCGAGAATATTCAATGGGTTTTTAATCGCAACACGAAGTTTTCGGCTACAACATACACAACATATTTTACAGTTTTGGGACAATTTAAAAAAAATATCAATTTGAAATTCGATTATGAAATATAATATAAATATAACCAAAATTATAAAAACTCTTTCGATCGTATATATTGGCAATGAGATTTAAAACGTCAGTCTAATTTTCAAACAAAAAGTAACAATAGACCCCTGAAAGTGGTTATCCTTTAATAAAAGCTGTTTAACAACAAGCACTTGTACAACTGCGAAATCCTTTCGGCTACGAGTTGAGCGTAGAGGTTCTTTGATCTACTTACTCTGATCCAGGTTCAGCTTATCCAATTGTAGGAGTTTTAGCCGGACACTATACAAAAATCGTACATGTACTGCTAAAGTTTTTTGGAATTAGAGCTAGAAGCATCTCACTGCATTCTTCACGACAGAGGTTTAAACATTTTGGGTACCTACCTTTTGAGAGATCTAACTACTGAGCGATTTGGCTAGAATTAAAATTAACTGACTCAGCAGATTTCTGCTAAGCTCGACGAACTTTCTTGATACATAAGGATCTCTTTGTCCAAACAAACAATTTTTTGGTATTTCAATAGTTTAAGTGGGATTCATATAATATCCGTCGCGAAGCTTGTGAGAGTCCGTTCAAATAGAGTTACGAAAAGTTTAGATAGAAGATTTAGAAGATATGAAGCAGTAATTGAAGATTTCGTTCAAGTAAGAATGTTGGCACACAAAATATTTAATGAAAATTTATTCGGTAAATTATACAAAATGCATGCCTAAACAAGAAAGTATTATATTTGTGTACCTTAAGACGATTTGTCACTTCTATAATTATAGCGTTGCTGCCAAGTGCTAAATTTTTAACAAAAAACAAACAACGCAATATAATTAACTCTCTGATGAGCTTGTAAAATAAATTATACACGACAAGAATAATTTGACACGAACGCGTATTTTAACAAGTCCATCATGGCAAGCCAACGCCGGCAGATATCTACTTAATAAAATAAATTGTGTGAAAATCAAATAAAAAGAGGAAAATGGCAATTTCTACCTCATTTTGATTTCGCACAACTTCCTGGATAAAAATTCCACTTAAATTAATTTCGAAAAGAAACATAACGGAATTAATGCCGCAACACGTCGATGCCTCGCCGCTGAATCATGAAATATTTTGCTCTTTTTTTTTTTTTTGCTTTTGTTGCGGTACTTCATTCATTTTCGCCTATTTTACGCGCGTTTAACGTCACAAATGTGAAAGCGTTCGTGTGTGCGAACTGCCAATTAATTTCGCATATTATTGTGCGCTGTAATTGAGACAAAAATAAATAAACTCTTTTTTGTTTCAAAATATGGATTGAAAATATACAACAACAAAATAAATAAATAGCGGAGAACGACGGTTCAGGGGTTATTTCCGAAATTGCAAAAACAACAATTTAATTTTTGATTATTTTACCGGAAAACAGTATAATCACATTTTTTTTTGTATATATACGAACATATATAAAATAAAATTTTTTCATTTTATTCCTAATAATTAATAAATTAGCCTAACTACGCTAAAAACTATCAGCTTCTTCTAAGAATTCTAAATCATGACAACTTGCTTTAGAAACATCCGTATACAATAAGTGCAAGATCCCAATCTAATTCATGCTAGAGAGTCATTAGAGCCATTAACACTGATTCTAAATTAAAATAAATAAAGTTTCACAGTACTGGACGGAAAGCCGGACACATCAAGAGTCCCGGAGTGGGGCAATTCGATATTCTCTCGCACTTTGATTACATCCCTGATAACTTGGACCATTGCGCCGTGGCATCTTCCCCGCGCACATACCTCCGAGGTGAGACGGAGTCGCTGCAGAAGAGGCGCAGTGAGCTTTCTTACGGATGGATCGAAGCTCAAGGGAAGGTTGGAGGGGGAGTCTTCTGTCGGGAGCTCTCAGGCAACTCTTGTTTCAGACTGCACAACAGATAACGGAAAAGGCAATTAACTTGTTGAAAATTATATAAAATGCTCCTTATTTAGAGCAAGTGTTAAGTAGTGGCTTACTTTCATTTACTTACTTTCTACTATATTTTATTTCTTTTATTACGATTTCTTGATTTTAATCTTACGATCTCTATCTATTGCATGTAAAAGAGTATTAATTAAAAAATGTACAACTATGTACATATGTATATATATAAATAAATGTTTTTGTTTTCTACAATACATTAAAGTGTTGGGGCCTTCAACTATTTCTTTTTAATCATTCCACTCTTATTTATTGAAAGAGGATAAATTATTTGCGCTCCCATACCTCACGTCTTGTATAGTGCAAATTGTTTAAGATTTAAAAATAAAATGACCGCAAATAAAAATACTCAGACGACGTAGAAGTAAACAAATGTGAAAGGCGGTTAGTGTAGATAAAACCGAAAGCTTTCGTCCACTCGGGATTGATGGGTGAACGTGAGTAGGGTTAATGCTAGGAGTGTCAGAGTGAATGAAGAACAAAATCAGTTTACTAGAGGCATTTACTAGAGACATTCAAAGCACAAATATACAAAACCAATATATAATTTTAATTGCTGCGGGTTCGGCGGTTCTAGCCATTTTATTTATAAGTATTACACTTTTATTGATGGCGTCAACGCTCTACACTCGAATACATTGCAACGCAGAATCGGCAATTTATCACAGCTGTCAGCTTGGATTGGATCTCACCTGCGAAAAAATTGTTGACGACATGTGAGCAGCAATTTCGTGGTTAATTTACGATTCAGCAATAAATGTCTCACCCACTTTAGATTAATTTTATTTGTAGAGCATTTTTAATATATTTATTCGAGCAATCAAATGGTTTTCCTTATATTTCAGTACATGTGTTTGCAGTTGTTGTGCTTTCATGTTGGAAAAATTTTTTTTGAAACGAAGTAAATATTTGTAATAAAGGAGATTAACGAAGTCAATAATTCAATAATTCAACAACAACTGTATGAATTAGTTATATGTTTGTCGAGCTAAAAAGTCACTACCTTGCATCTAATTGAAATAACTTGTAGTCGTGAGCTATAATACTTCTGAGGCGTTGGCAACTGTGAATTCCTTAATAAATGGGAAATTAATTTTCCAAATTTTTATTTTTCAATGTCTTTAATAGATTTTTGTAAATTTTCTAATGATTGGTTAAAAAATTCCGTACCAAATTCCTTTTATATATAACGAAGAAACATACCTGATGGACTTGACGTATTCAACGTGAGTGTCTGAAAGTTTTTTGTAGTTATTTGTTTCAAGATAATAATTTGATATGGTGATGGGTTTCAATGGTATCTTAACCAAACGATTTGGTTAGTTAGGTGAAATTTCACCCGAAAGATTGTCCCACAGAACAGAGAATCAACGACTCTTTTCTGTTTTCTGTTGAGTTGTAAAATAAATATATATAATTACACTCCGAGTCAGCTTAAAGAAAAAATACTGTAACAGGTCAATTATGAAATTAAAACTTACCGAATTTTCCCATCAACTGATTAATTTTAGGGGGTAAATTAAATAAAAAATAGTCTGTGATCGACAGATTGTTAAAATGTTTTACAAAAATATTGCTTTGCAAATCTTAATTAGAGTCTCCTTAGAACAAAATTATATGTTTTATGGATTCCTTGAACTCCATTTTCGTATAGAAATATCTCCACGAAAATATTGTATAAATACGTCTGTAGGATACTAAATAATTATTAAACACTACATTGAGCCACACGGGTACGAAATAGGGTTAAGCTATTCTGACGATTCTCAAAATTGTATTAAGGCTTTCTCTAATAGGATATATTAAGTTTTGTGGAATTGACCCTGTATAAAAATTATAATGTTTAGAACCAAAAAGGGTGGTTGCCTAAATCTTTTGAGGTATTCAATGCAATTATACAAACCTTTATCAACAAGCATACATTCATTGATTTATAATTTTTTTTTTTTTAATTCGTAACAATAGAAGATTTATCTAGAATTTCATCAACATTAAATTGAAATGGAAATATCGCTCACTGAAAAGGCCAGCAAGGAAGGAAAGTTACGCAGGATTTTTGTCTGTGACAAAACAATAATATAAAGAAAAGCAAAAAAGGTAATAAAAGGGCTTAAATGAGGTTCTACGAGTATGCAGATCGTTATGGTGACAACCGCAAAATCCAAAAGCCGGGCACACAAAGGCACCCACACACAACCGCAATAGTCCATAGTCAGACAGTTATTCTCGCAGCTAAAAAAAAATATGGCCAGCGCCGACTGTTCGGGTGCGTGCGTGAGTGCTCAGAGTTACAGGCAATGAAAACACAATATTTTATTTGTGGCAG